ACGAAGGATTTCCCAGAGTGCCGTTTGGATGTGGCAGCATCATCATTCTTCTTGCTGCCCGCTGAGGCCGGATGATGGAAACACCCACGGCTCCTGTGAACGATGTCTGCACGTCGGAGCAGGAAACACTGACGTCTGTTAGCTGCTCACAGTGCTGAAGCTCCTCAGCTCACCTGTACTGGGTTCTCACCAGTTTAGCACCAGTTTGAGAACTACAGGATAATCTCCCCTGTGGGTTTGTTGGTAGAGACTCATGCAGACCTGGGCGTCCTTGTTGCACCGCTGTGCCATGTTCGACACGTCGCCAAAATCATCTCCAGAGACGATTATTAGGCAAGCGAGCCTCTTCATCATACCATCAGTCATCTGCATATGTCCCAACTCCAAGCTGTAAACACTTCAGTGCTTATTCAAGTGTTTACTCTGATTTTGTGGCAACTCAGCTTTTCTCTGAAACACAAAGAAACTGCGTTTTGTAACAAAGTCACATCTGCCCGTCGCAGCTGCTCGCGTGTGGTTTCGTGGTGGAGGTGAGAGCAGGAAGTCATCAGAGCACAAACGGTTAGCACGGTGGAAGCTCCGAGTGAGGCGGCACACAGGGAGCCAGTCATGAGGTCGACCGCAGAGCGGTTTTTCACTTCCACATGAATCAGGTTCAAACCGCCGTCGCGTTCTGTCTGACTCGGCTCGATCTCATCGTCACATATCCAACAACAGAACGTCAGCCTGATGCTGAGCTGCAGACGTCTGTTAGGACGGCCTCTTTCAGACCTGTCACATGATTATTATCCGGTCTTTAAGTGATGACGTGACGAATCCTACTTCCGGGCCTAAAGTAGTCTGCGTTTAATATGGCTTTTGTGTTGTTAACATGTTTAATGTTTTGTATTTTCTTCTATTTGATCTCAAAAGCTCCTAAAACAGTCAGTGATCACTGTTGACCTCCCTCGGCTTTTATTACCGCTAATCATTTATTTAAGCTCAGTTTTTAAAACCTTAGGATGTAACTACAGCCCAGCCCATGCAGCAGTATATGAATGACTAACCTCGTATTGTGGGTGGATTATCTCAGTTGTTCTCCTGGCTGAAGTTTGGTCCTTTTACAGCATCCTGCCATGCGATTACATTTGTTCCTGACCACCGAGAACACTCACGTTAACTTTTATTCAGTGGGAAAAAAGTTAGCTTGTTTATATTATGCTAACATAGCTGTGTCGCTAGCATCATTATATACCAGCTAGCCCAACTTCAGTAACCCTACAAACGTCACTGCTGTTTAGTTTCCTGTCTTCATTTATGTTGGAAGTGATAGCAGAGCTGTACGTTTTAATTTGTTTCCAAAACCCCGCAGTCAGGACATGCTATATTGTATTTAGATAGAAGCTAGCGAGCTAACTCCCTGCTAACTTCTAACTCCGTTAAATGTCATAAATTCCGTTTTCATGGATGCCTGGATGTTAAACTCAGTTGTTACACCTGGTAGAGCAGAACGCTGATCATTTTATTAAAGATGAAAGACTTTAGACAGTTTTTAACTCTCAGTGATCCTGCCGGGATCGTTTGATTTATAGACCTGCAGCGGAGTTTGAGCCCAGACACGACTGGTGACGTCAGACTGAACGACCAGATTGTGATTCTCAGAGTTAAGAGGAAGTTCTGGATGTTGTGCACGATTAATGGACCGTAAAATGTTTCGTTTCTCTTTCATCTTCTTGATTTATTTATTTTTATTGTTTGAAACATTCAGAGTGATTCACTGTTAAGTTATTTCAAACAAGCGTCCTCTCGTCTCCACGCCGACCTGCTGAGCGTGGGCGAGCGCAGTTTCTGAAGGCCGTCCAGGTTCAGACGCCGTACAGTACTGATGGAATATTGATTATTTATTTAGTCCTTTTAACTGGAGATATGAAATGAGTTCCAAACTTGCACCAGTGCAGACGAAGAAAAGCTCGTTCCTCCTCGTTGTCGTCTCGAAACTTTGGAGGAAACTGTATTTCCGGGCTGCTCCTGGTTTCCTCTATGAGCGTCTTCTTCCTGCTCCTCTTCCTTACTTTGGGTTTCTTGCTTGTTTCGTTCGTCGCCTCTGTTTCAGCCTGTGATGTCCTGGCTGTCAGACAGACTCTTCGCCCTGCTAATGAGCCGTTCCCTCTGCTGTCATTATGACTTCACCTCCTCTCAGACTTAAATGGCTTCTTTCCTCATTTCTTCCTCCAACTTTCCCCTGAGGGAGCGACCTGCTCTGTTTCCACTAAACTTAAACTAAGTTAAACATCAGGAGCATCGAATCCGTCAATCAAACAACAGCATATGAAACATGTGCAGCAGCGGGAAAACCTCAGCGTCCGCCTGTTTCCTCGCGTTAGGACTAAAGTGTGACAGCAGCAGCTCCCTCTGAGGAGGTCCGCTCGCCACAGCGCTAAACTCTGTCTCCGCCCACTTTAACCACAGACTGCTTCATCAGCATGAAGAGCCTCAGCTTCTGAGCAGCTGATCAACAGTTTTTAACTTTATTTGTCATAATTAATAACCTTCAGTTACTGTGGTTTGGACTCATTAAGGTCAGACTGCTCTAAGTACAGTTTCATATGTATGATGTCACTGAATGGGTGTGGCATACGGGCATCTCCACCCCCACCTGCTGCTTGTAGGTGAAAGCCAGTCAGAAAAGGGTGACATTAGAATATGTGGAGCAGGTCAGGCGGTTCACTGTGTTCAGCATCTTCAGGTCAGATAAAACTCATTTCTCCACATTGTCACGATTTCTCTTTGATGAGTGCTTGTTGGAAGTTTGCTCCGACAGGAAACAGGCCTGAGCTTTACACTGCTGCTCGCAGAGCACAGCTTTGCACAGCAGGTCACAGAAATGAAGACGTGCACGAGCAGCGGCGACGCCGTCATTCACGAGTACGACAAACCGTCAGCAACGCCGGCTGCATCGTGCACGACGGCATGACTGCGATGAGCAGGGTCAGGGGGTTGCAGGGGAAGCTTGAGTGGATTTAACCCCAGCAACACACGGTGAGTGATGCTTTAATGGGCTCTGTGAACGGCCTGTTGTGTGAATGTTGCACATGTCTGGATCCCTGCAGCCAAGAGATTCTAACTCACGAGGTGTTCACGCATCACATCCTGTTTGGCAGCACATCTGGACAAAGAGCTGCAGTTTTTAGACTGAGCTGTGGTGGGACAGCAGCACTCAGAGCTCCACAGTCTCTGCAGGACTTTCCACTTTTCTTACTTTCATGTGTATAAAATTCACCAATTACGTTCTAACAAATATGGATCAGGTGGACAGAAACTCTGGACTCTATAACAGCGAACTCGATGCTCAGGCTGAGCTTTGACACAAACCAGAGTAGTTTGGGTCATTAGTGGGTCAGAAAGTGCCAGAAACCTCCATGGAAACCAAATAAATCAGTGACCTGCACCGGCTGTTTCCTCAGACTCGATCTGTCACAGTTATTGACGGGACAATCAAGACGTGGGCGTCAGCTTCAATCGCTCTTTTCCCACTTTTACAAGCTCCAGCTCTGGTTGCTGGCTTGGCTCGGCCCGCCGCACATGTGGTACAATTAGCCTTCGCTTCATCGCGCATGTGTTCCTGGTTTCTGTGGTATTTCAGTCATTTCTGAGCTCCCACGGGAACCGCAAAAGCACCGCCGACCAGCCGCGGGGGCAAACCGAAGACTTCTGAGGTCTGCAGTTAAAGGTGGCAGTAAAGACGGTGAGCTCTGTGAAGCACACGAGGGAGCACACAACACTGCATGCATGTGTACGAGCATTACAGATGCTTTAGCTACACAGAACAATCAAATATTAATACTCAGGTAAATGAACCGTTTTAGTTTGTTTGCAATTTGGAATTAGGATCATTCATTTGTAATAATTGTAATTATACAATAATGAGTTTGGTATTATGTTTCAAACTCTCAAATTTACATCATCTCAGTGTGAAGCTGCATCAGCTGACTGATCTTCTTCTTCTGTAGCTTAAAATCAAGTTTGACTCGTTCCTGTTTGAGGATGTATGAAGGTAAATATCTGCGTGGTTTCATTAGAAGCCTGGAAGTATTGTCCCCAGCATCAAATCTTATTTTGAAGGAATCACTGGGAAGTTGCTGACCTCTGCTAAACTTGTGTCGGTAGAACTGTGAGGTTTTCAGACTCTTTATGATCTGAGCAGGATTTAAAATTCAGACGAGGTCGCAGCCTGAGCGCACCACGCTGTGAGACTGCACTGCTGCTCTCTTCATGCACAAAGTGCAAATATTGCTGCAAAATCCTCAAACAAAAGCACGCCAGAAAGTCACGGAGCACCATGGTAATACAAAACAGGGCTCGTGGTGAGAGGGTGGAGGTCAGTCGGAGGTCATCGGGTCATGAAGCTGGTGATAAATTTGGACCATAAAGCCCTGAGTGTGCCTTCAGGTGTCGTCTCACACCACACGTCTAAACTAAAGGCAGCTTCAAAACTGAGTCACTCCCCAAAGACACTCACATCGCTAAGGTCTGCAGTTAGGGGCGTGGGCAGGTGGCTGCAGGTGTGCAGTCCGGCTCAGGTTGGACGTGACCTACCAACAAGGCTTGCAAACATCATCCAAACACATTCTTGCAGCAATAAAACAGCACGAGGGACTAAAAATGTCTCCCAGTCCCAGGAGTCCTTCCTCCATCTTTACTTACAGTCTATGCTTTGAATCAGCACACTGTAACTTTGTCCAAACCTGCAGTCACACATGAATGAAAACTCTGTCACGCACCTATTTTACATCCTCTCTGAGCAACACGAGCGCCCGCAGCCACACGCCTGTGTGGAGTCAGCTGGGTCCTTCAGCGCCCGCTAACCAGCAGAGCGTCCTGCAGCGGGGGACGCAGACCCCTCTGAAACACATGAGCCCCTGAAAACATCTAAAAATCAGATGTTTTCCATCTCCAGCCCTCCGCCCAGCGGGGACCTGTAAAGCCCACAGAATTACATCAGAGGGAAACAGAGGAGGAAGAGAGGAGAGAGGGAGGAAAAATTCTTCAAGTATGAGAAAATTTTACTGCACTCCTCCTCCCCTCCCCTCCTCTCTCGCTCCGTCCATCACCCTCCTCGTCCTCCTCCTGCCGGTCAGTCAGCGAGAGAGCCGGACTGAGACGAGACTTCAGCACCGCTGAGGGAAACTCCTCACCTCTCTGAGCAGGTAGGATGCTGCTGCAGGACCAAACTCTGCTGAGAGCGAGGTTCATAAACATTTAATATGAATGTAACGCAGAGCAGATTTCATTTGAACATTCATCATTTAAACAGCAGAACTGTGCAGCCATGATTGCTGCTTTTCTTCATTCGAGGACGAGGGTGAAACGAGCAGCTGCTGTTTTACATTCAGTGCCGACGATGTTTCAAAAGGTTTTAGCTTCATGTTTCATTTATTTTAAATTGCTTAGATATTTATCTCTTTATTTTTTATGAGCTTTGCAAGAACACGAGTTTCATATTTTGGTCATTTTTATGACTTTTACAAATAAACTGAAAAGATTTCTTTTTATTTGTTGGTTGAAAAAAGATTTAATTGTTGGACTTTTGAACTTTTGTCTGTTTTCTGTCAGTTTAACGACCAAATTAATTTGATCTCATCAGCTGTAGCTTCACAGGGGAGGATTTGTGGGTTTTGGTGATAATAATTGGCAGCAAATGGAATAGATTCATGTTTTTCAGACATTCATTCATGTAAAAAATAAATCATAATTTCTTTTACATGATCCAACGATGTGAAACGTGCCGACTGCTGCAGAGCTGTGACGGAAATCATAAAGCAAATATCCAAATCAGGATTTTACAGAGAACCAGGCAGTAATGATGCAGAAATACAGACAAAGTAAAATGTTTTCAGTTTTATGTATAAAGCCAAAGATCAGAGAGACTCGTGCATGTAATAACGCATCCTGCAGCAGAATCGATGCAGGCTTATGTTTGGACGTCGTCTCTGTGACACTGAAGTCTCCGTCCTCTGTGATGGACTGAATCAAATAACTGCTTTGATTAAAAAAAAAAATCTGCTATTTCACTCATCAGCAAGTCAATCAGCAACCTGCAGGACTAAAAACTTACAGCAGTTCATGACTGCCAATAACTGCAGTTCCTCTAATGTCCACTAGAGGCCACATGTTAGAACATCTGACTTCACAGCAGAATCAAACATTTACAGGTTTACAAGCTGCTAAACAGCTACTTTCCCCCCTTCATGGTAACTGTGTACTGCTGCTAGCTTCATCTCTGAACTGCTTCTTTTTAATGCACTTATCTGACCAATAGCATGGCTGCTGTGAGGGTACACACACAGTCCTTCCTAACATTTCATCACTTTGTTACTTGGCAAACATTAGCAGGAATCTCTGCACCCACTTTATGGAAGCAGCTTGCTAACTGGGCTAGCTAGTATTAGCATTTACCTTAGCGCGCCGCCCTGTTGTCCATATATGCTAACTGGGTTGCAAAAACACTGAGCCCTCAAAACACAGAATCCAGAAACCAGTGGCTGATGTCACAGTAACAACTTCCATTTTTTATGTACAGTCTGTGTTGTTGCACCCACAGCTGCCAGATTTCCTCACTGGACTCTTGCTGCTGTGATCCTCTGTGGTCTCGGGGAAGCTTTTGGCCAAAGCATGTAAATGTGCTTCCTGATGTTCCTGATCTTTCATCATTCTGTTAGCACAAATGTTAAAGTTTCACAAAGTCAAACCCGTTTCCTGTTTCTGAGACCTGAGATCGCTCATGTATGTCTGAAGGTTGTGACTGTGTTACTCGATATTAACTAGGTAATAGTAGTTTCTGGAGTTGCACCCCTGCTTGCTGGTTTGAAGCCAGAAGAACATTTATAGGGTTTATAAGATCTCCTCCTCCTGGTCATTACAGTGCTATCAAATGATTAACCTGAGTGTGGGCGTGGAGCGACAGGTTTGTCACATAGTCTGGAAGCAGTGAGGGAACAGCCTCCAGCAGCACTGAGAGTAAAGGTGAAGAGCACATGAGAAGCCTTCATGGTGTATTTTGAGAATTTGTATTGCCCTCCTGAGGTTCTCCCGTAGCAGCTGGAACAGCTGTCACAGGCAGCTATTTACAAGGTAATCGTTCTCACTTAGACCCACTGAGCAGAAACTGGCCGAGGTCCAGACTGAGATCTAAATCAAACCGCACATGCAGAAGCCTCTGTGTGTCGGTCGAGTTAGCAGCAGAGAAACATGTGGACAGACGGAGAGGAAAGGTTCAGGGTTCAGGGTTCAGATCCAGAGCTGAGCTGAAGCAGAGACATGATGGACGAGTCCTGAGGACACCTGCATCAAAAGTTAAATTATTCTCATAGGAGGCTTTAAAACAGCCAAAGACAAATAACAGATAGAAGTCAGGCTGGTGCAAGCTGAAGCTGAAGAGGCATCAGGATCCACTCATCACAGCTTCACTGCAAACATGCTTGTTTCACTCCAGTGGACTGAGAGGACACACGGGTGGTTACTGAGGCCGACAGACCATTCACAGAGCTACTTGCTGCTCATAAATATGCTAACAATGTAAAGTAAAAGTCATGTAACCAGGAGGAGTTTGCAGTGTTTCCTCCTGCACATGAACAGGATTTAAGGTGTAAGTATCTAAAGAAGTCTTACAAACATTCACAGAGCTTCAATTTTGCCTCTTTTTTAAGTAAAGAAACTCTAAACTGGGATCTGTTTCCTCAGATGCTCCACACATAATCGGCTGTTTGGGGCCAAATTGCACTTGAAGTAATATTCGGCGTTGCCAGGCCCCGGCCTGATCCGCATGTCAGAAAATCGGCTGCAGGATAACAAGCTACTCTTTCAGACCAAGTTACTTTTTCCATCGGGTTTTTATTGGCCGCCATGCTCCGCTGACGGGCCCATAAACAGCTAATGGCCCCCTATTCCGGCTAATTGTGGCCAAAGTGGAGTCTGCTGCGCTAACATGAAATTTAAGGTGAGCTTAAATGTGTAATTCTGTGTCTCTTCCAGTGGGAAAACCCATGGACAGCAAAGGCGAGAGGAAAAAATCCATCACCTCTGTGACTGAAGCGAAGTGAGAGCAGGTCCAGATCTGCAGACTCTTTCCAACTGAGTCCTGGAAGCAACCGGCTCCGCTGTTACCGGCAAACGTCCGTCAGCATCGATTTCCCGAGCGGTCCGGCATCTTTCTCCTCAAACACCCAGGGAAGTCTTCTCCTGGTGCCACCCTGGCGATGCTTCCTTTCATCCCCTGCCTCCTCCTCTTCCTCCTCCTGGCCGGCCCAGCCCTCCTGACCCCGTCAACCTCCAAAGAGCTACAGTTAAGGGGTCAACGGACACCAAGGGACACCAAGCAGGACTCCTTCAAGGTGATTAAGGGTTTAGCTGAGATAAATGGGCCGACTCACGGCAGTTCAGTGGTCATCTGGGTTAAACGAGGGTCAGTGTGGTTAAAAGGTTCAGGGAATTCTTCTTTATCTGCTTTTATTTGATGGCCCCTGTAACATCTGACTCCGCAATCACAGGAGTTTTAAGTTTTCATATCTGTCTGCAGATGATTCCTTATTGCAGGAAGAAGCCAGTGAAGGCCAGTAATGAACATACAGGCATCTCATTGTTAGGACGTTTGAATCCAGAAATCTGCTCAGGAGATGATGCAAAAGCCAACTGCACAGTCAGAGTTCAGTTCCAAGCCGTCTGCAGTCCAAGCAAAGAATAAATTGCAGAGACCTATCATCAACAAACTCTCGATGTGTTTTAACTGATGACTGACGTCTTTGCTGCCCTGCGCTCCAGCACATTTTAATGTTGGAAAAAGCAGAAAGTTAAAGCCATAAACCTCCTGCGCCTTCTGTAATATATCTACCCCGGCATCGCCGGACTAATGTGCAAATGTGAATTTGTCTGGAACCTTTTTGTTGAGCTCCAGTTTCCAGCGGGCATAGAGCAAACTCAACTAGATAGACGAACAGCCAATCAGAGGAGCTGCGATGAAGGATAATGCTAATGGACTCTTTCAGAAATGACACTTTGTGCTCCAGAGCAGCAGCGATTATTTCACCCCGAGCTCAGTAACATGAAAAAAGGTGGCTGCAAGAAATCCACAGTCCAAAAACCTGACAAAGTCCAAACACAGTCAGGAAGACGACTCAAAGGTTTAGACTCAAACACACTGATGGGAAGATGGACAATACGACACAGGAGGACTCAACCAGGACAACAGGAACGTAGAAACATGAGAAGCCATATGTGGAACAAACCAGCAGAACACAGCATTGAGAACATGAAAACTTAACATGAAACAAAGTGCAATGATTGGTGTTTTCTGCTGTTGCAGGTGGTCATCTCAGAGGGCTGTGCCACTCAGGGTGATGCATCTGATGGGAGTACAGGAGGTAAAGAGTCTGACCTGAAACAAGAACATCCAGAAACTGTAGTTTTTCACAGCAGTGGGGGGTGTTGTAGCTCAGCTCCTACTGCAGAATATAATCACAACCAAATGTCCTCGTTTGCAGGTAAAGAAATTGACCTGGCGCCTGGTTCTCCTCTGGTTCTGACCCATAAGATCAAACTGGTTCCCTCAGATTCGGCGTCTGGGTCTGGATCTTGTGGATGCGACGCCGACTTTGCTCCGCTGCGGGAGCGGCTGGAGAGGCTGGAGAGGGAGGTGTCAGCCCTCCGGGAGACGTGTGGAGGGGCTGAAGGAAACTGCTGCAGCTCAAACGAAAGCAAAGGTAAAACTGGATATTTCTATTAGATCGACCACGTTTCTTACCTTCAATATTTATCTGTAGAGCAGAAAGACGCGACTATCAGCGTTAAAGAGGGCACACTTTTATGTCAACAGCACTCTTACAGAGCGCTAACAAGCCTCCGTTACAGATCCCTGTTAGCATGAACTTGGCAACAGTGGGAAGGAAAAACTCACTTTTAACAGGAAAACTCCATCAGAACCAGGCTGAGGCAGGGACGATCATTTGTTCTCCAGATCATCCATCAGTGTGTGAATGTTGGACACAAAGCATAGAAACACGGCTTTAACCCTTTAAGTCCTACCATAGAACCAAGTCTGCCAGAGCTTATATTATATTTTTACATGCTGTGGAGCCATTTTTGGGAGCATTTCAAGTTGCTATACATCAATACAACCATTATAGCCCAGATTTTAAAGATATGTCTGCATTAAGTGCATAGTAATTACACAAATTGCAAAAACTTGCAATAAACTACAAAAAAATTGAAAATCGTTTTTGTTTTTTTAACATATATTTCTAGTGAGAGAAATTTAAGAGGCTTATCCCTCAAAACTGTAAATACAAAAAAGTTTCACAAAATAGTTTCCCACCACAGGAAATTTATTTTGAGTGTCTTCATAGTTTTATTTTTGAAATACAGCAATTTTTATACACTGCAGGAAAAACGAAAATAAATATTATAGTGCAAATTTGCAAAAAAACAGCATGTGCATCAAAATAAACTATTTCCAGCTGTGCATAGGGTTGCCAACCGTCCCTTAAAATACGGAATCGTCCCGTATTTCGAAACAAAAGTACACGTCCCGTATTGAGCTAATAAGGGACGCACTTTGTCCCGTAATACAGTGAGAATCAAAAGTAGTCTATAACTTTTAATGGAATTAACACTTTGTTTGAAAACATAATTCCCAGCCCCTCTCCTGCTTTGTGACCAATGAGCTGACAGCACACTTACGAGTATGACAATTCAGATTACCGCTCATCTCATTGGTCAAGGAAAGGTCGCTTACGGAGAAAATACCGGAAGACAACAGATGACCACAACAAGAAGCATGGCCAACAGGGAAACAAACGCCGTCACTGCGGTGCAAGTCTCGGACGACAGTAAACCTAAAGCTGGGCAGACACTGTGCGATTTTTTCAGTCACGTTATTCAGCTCCTGCTCAAACTGCACGATTGACTCGCAGGGGTTAGAAGTTGGTAGGTCACGATGCAGGTCTCACACTATACCGCCCGATGCTCTGATGAGACCTGAGTGCTCACACTGTGCCTCCATAAAATGAAGGTTATAACAGAAAATCTGTCGCTCTCCCTCTCTGTCTTTCACTCACACAGACACACCACCACCATCAACTTTGCTAAATTGCTAATGAAAAACATTGATCGGGCAGCTGTGATTGAGCAGCATGTAAATCCAACTATTTTCACGGTTGTTGTGGTCGTGATAATTTTGTGATGCCACATCGAAAAGGCTCGGATGAGCTTTCCAAAGTTCTACAAGTTGTACCTCCATCGCTTGTGTCCAGATCACACGCTGCACTGCCGTGCTGCGCCGTCTTTTACACCAGCATTTACGTGTTTGCGCGTGAGCAGTGTGAGCGGCTGTGGTGACACCCTCACGAGCGATTGATGATCAGGAGCTGGTCGTGAGGTGTTAATCACTTCTCGTTACCCCACGTATACTACACGACGCACGATGAAGGCCAAAATCGGTCCGATCACTCAAAAATCGGCTCAAAATGGGCCTAAAACTGCACAGTGTAAGCCCAGCATTAGAGCAGCAATGTTTGTTCAGAGAAAGGGAAGAATGGGAAAAGGAAAACACCTGGCTGGAAAAAGTTAATATGGGCATGTGCAGTGAATATCAGCGCTATGTGGCCAGAAGTGTGATAATATAACTTATTTTGTGTAATAAACAACTGCAAGGATACATGATTACAACAAATTGATGACTAATACATAAAAGTAATACATAGATGAATAATGATGATGAGTTAAGATGCGTAATCATGGGAACAAGCGGGTTTACAAACAGGAGCAGCTGATTAGCATTAAGCCAATTGTACTAAATGCACTAAATGTGCACAGTTACAAGAATATTTTTCTTTCTATTGTTTTCTATTATTTTAAGTTAAGCAGGACACAGTTCTTTTAAAGAAAGATTTACTTATATTCTCAAAAGTTAAGCATGACAGGCTTCTGTTTAAGAAAGAGACCTGTTTTACTGTGTTAATGTTGTCATTTTGAGCTAAAAATAAATGGCTAAATGATCATTTGTTTCACATGTGTTCATATCACAAAGAATACACATCTACTTAAATCAAATTCAAGTCAAATGGTTAAAAAAATAATTTCACACACAAAAAAAGAGCTAGAAAATTCACCACACTGGGAAGGGTGAAGACAACTGGGCCGCCCGGCCCTGGCCACGAGGTGTCCCTTATTTATTTTTCAGGGAGTTGGCAATCCTAGCTGTGCAATATGAGTCCTAAGCATCCCAGAAACGACACAGAAAGTCATAAAGTCAAACATAACTTTTAAAAACACCAGTATCCGATTATTAAGTGATGACGTGACGAATCCTACTTCCGGGCCTAAAGTAGTCTGCGTTTAATATGGCTTTTGTGTTGTTAACATGTTTAATGTTTTGTATTTTCTTCTATTTGATCTCAAAAAGCTCCTAAAACAGTCAGTGATCCCTGTTGACCTCCCTCGGCTTTTATTACCACTAATCATTTATTTAAGCTCAGTTTTTAAAACCTTACGATGTAACTACAGCCCAGCCCATGCAGCAGTATATGAATGACTAACCTCGTATTGTGGATGGATTATCTCAGTTGTTCTCCTGGCTGAAGTTTGGTCCTTTTACAGCATCCTGCCATGCGATTACATTTGTTCCTGACCACCGAGAACACTCACGGTAACTTTTATCCAGTGGAAAAAAGTTAGCTTGTTTATATTATGCTAACATAGCTGTGTCGCTAGCGGTCACGTAGCACATCATTATATACCAGCTAGCCCAACTTCAGTAACCCTACAAACGTCACTGCTGTTTAGTTTTCTGTCTTCATTTATGCTGGAAGTGATAGCAGAGCTGTATGTTTTAATTTGTTTCCAAAACCCCGCAGTCAGGACATGCTATATTGTATTTAGATAGAAGCTAGCGAGCTAGCGAGCTAACTCCCTGCTAACTTCTAACTCCGTTAAATGTCATAAATTCCGTTTTCATGAATGCCTGAATGTTAAACTCAATTGTTACACCTGGTAGAGCAGAACGCTGATCATTTTATTAAAGATGAAAGACTTTAGACAGTTTTTCAACTCTCAGTAATGCCACAGTGATCGTTTGATATATGGACCTGCAGCGGAGTTTAGACCCAGACACGGCTAGTGACGTCAGACTGAACAACCGGATAGGCTCATGAGGCCCTGATGGTAAAAAAAACTACATTTCCGCGAAAATGACGCCACTTCCGGTTTCGGGCAGGTCATGGCGGACATGCGATAGTTCGCGCTGACGTCTGTTCCAAGGTAGGAAGTGTTATGAACAGCTGATCGGATCGGCAAAGCGTGTTTCTGGAATATTATGTTTTTGTTGCTGCAAGTGCTTTTTATGCAGTTTTTGCAAAACTATATGTGGAAGGAAACTGTGACCGAGGACAAGCTGATGGCATAAGATGCAAGTACAACTCCTCCGGTTTCATATGCAAAAAAATTATTGCGCTAGCTTACGTGGTTGCAGTGCTACCGGGATTTAAAAATAGTTATGCAAAACAGAGCGTGCCGCTCCGACCGGCTTTAAAGGGTTAATGGGTGAATGTTGTATAAAGAGCTTGGCGTGAGTGGAAAAAGTCACCTGATCGAGCCCTACGATAAGCTTTCACAGCTTTATGAACTCTCACTCAGCACTTTTCCCTTCTTAGATCCCTGAAGCCAGTGAGGAGCCGATCTGATGCTTCATGGACGTTTATAATTTTAGCATCTTCATTTTAAATATTCTTAAAGTTCATCACATGCCGAAGCTTTAATGACCGGCTGCATTTCTGTCATTGTCATATAGAAAAGCCACATTTTCATGTCACGTCTAAACATTAAACGAAACGTGAAAAGTTTTTCATTCACGTGCAAAAAAATAAAAATTCAAACTGAATTTGAGACAGTGATCAAAATCATTCGTCATGCATGAACGAATTCTTTATACCAGGCTGGAAAAAATGATGTTTTTTCATACCAGAGGACTCAAAAGACTTAAAACAGCTGGAGGAGCAGGACCTGCATACAAACCTTTAACAGACACAAAGTCGAGGTCGTGTTTGTTCCACCTCAGTGCCAAAAATCCAAAAGTAATAAATGAAATAAAAATCAAATGTTTTCAAACTTTATCAGAAAGACGTGCAGCAGATCGTGAGTCATGTTTTCAAGGCCTCGAAGCTTCGAGAAGAAATAAGTTCGGGAGCTTTAGGAAAGCCGAGGTTTTCCATCACATGGCTCCAAAGTCACCCACAGTTGATTTCATCAGTGTGGAGCTGATGATGTCCTGCAGCAGCTCCACAGTATGAACCCCAACCAGCCAAAGATCCACTCTAAAAGCACCTGAAGCATGTTGGTGAGGTTAGCAAACAGAAACTCCAGACCAAATGGAGCAATCAGCTCACGCATGGATGAAAAAGTAAATATAAACCGAACTCTGGCACAACCAGCAATAATCCTATTTATGAAAATAAACACTGGGGATGTTTGGGAGGATTCTGTGGCTGCTGATCAAAGAGACGCAAACAGAAAAACATCGCAAGGAGAGGAGGAAACACGAGAGAACAGCGATTAATACGAGTCTGCATCAGCAGGTGCTAACCTCCCCGCCGCGCAGCACGGCGGCGCTCAGCATACAGAGCAGCAGTCGGTCTTACAGCGGCTGATCTTTAGCTCGTAATTACAGTGAAAATGACCCAAGATGTTGTTGGTCTGCAGCACAGTGTGTGTTCATAGCAACATATGTTTAACAAACACTGGACTCTATTGGATTTGTTAAAGAAACGGTCCCTGTGTGCGCTCCAGGTTTTTTTTACTGCCGAATTCTTGTTTTGTGAGGGCATCGCTTTGCAGCAAAGTCTGTGACAGCAGCGTCCAAACATCGACAACACCAAACGTGTACCCGATGCCAAAAATGACACGCCGGAGGAACGGGCCACGAGGAGATGGAGGTGCCGCTCTCTGTTTCCCAGGACGTCCCTTTTCAATCTTTGCTCCACGATGACACTCGGATTCATAAACCTTCCTTTTCACTCGCATTTAAAACACAACCAGAGTGTCAACAGCAGCGCAGGATCCATCGACTGCATTACTGTGTGAATCTGCCTCGCACCGTGACCTCGAGCAATAACAGACCAATGAGAGGCCACAGACATGTCTCTGCTGACGATTAGCTCTCTGAGCATGTGGTTTCTATTCTGTAGGTTTTTGTCTTTGTTTGTTTTTTAAGTTGATTTCTTGAAAAGGTTTCTCATCATTTCACATAGAAGTATACAAACATTTATCTGCGTGCAGGTTTTCTGCAGTTTGGTAACGAAACACAGGAAGTGTCTTCTGTGAAGGTTCTCAGTCATCCAGCTCATCGTGGTCTAAGAAGCTCGGAAAGAAAAGCATCTGGACTATTCTCTACTTAATCACATTAGCCAGGTGTGAATCGGTCGTAGGTCACGATCAGCCACGCTTCAGGTCAGCTCATTGTGAAACCCAGCCCCACCCTATCATGTGATGTCCTGAGGTCAGGTGGCCCAGGATGTGAGTGGGCGTTTAAATCTAAATCTTTCTCTTCATGTGTGGAAAGCTGACCTGACAGCTGAGCAGTCTCTGACAGGGTTACAGGGACCCACAGTGGGAGGCGTTATCTACACCTGGAGGAAACGTTAACACTGTGAATGAATGAAATATGAAACATCTAATACAGAGCAAAGCGAAATGAAAATGAAAGTTTTTTGACTTTATTTAACATTACTGGGCAGCTACCTGCTGTTTCCTACACCCTCCTTCATGCTCTCTCAGACGTGCATCAGACCTGTTGAATATTTCACCACCATCTGTTATTATGTGTTCTAATAGCTTTATGTTAATCTAATAAAAAAGTAAAGTAGACTAAAGCTGTATTCTACTAATAGAATATGTGTTTTTCTTTGAGTGTGTGATTGGATTAATTTCAGAGATGATCACATTACAAACTGGCAGAGATTAACCTGTGAGCTGTGTGTGTGTGTACTTGTATTACCTGAAACATGGGGACCCATAGATTGTGAGGATATGGGGGTCTGATTTGTGTTAGGGGGAATAAAGTAAGACTGTAATTTACTCCAAAATCATTACCCAAAACTGGATAAAAAGTTAATGTCCTGTTTTTAGTTTAGCTTCAGAAAAGTGAATGTTTTGTCTTCTGAAGTGATGGAAACGGGAGAGGACTGTTTGTGCGTCTCTGTCTTCAGCTCTGTGCCCAGTGTGATCTCAGCCCCCACCTCCGCCCAGTCCACCCTCTGCACCGCAACAACACACACACACACACACACACACACACACACACACACACACACACACACAGGGGATAATCAGTCACAACAAGGCTGTGTTACACTCTATTTAGAGAGGATTAGACGTCCACCCCCCTTCACTCTACCCCCAAAACTGAGGCAGTGCAACAAAGGGTAACTATTTGGTTCTAACTCATTCAAGACGCTTCATTCATCCTCCAACAAACCACATTTATGACTGAAGTGATGCTGATGGCCGTCTTATGTTTTGGATATCTAAGAATGCATTTGACCTAGTCATTACTATGATGCAGGATATCTGCATACCGTCAATTAATGCTTCAATCTTAAATATGATCAACCTATCTCTAATAATCAGCTATGTACCACAGGCCTTCAAGCTGGCTGTAGTTAAACCTTTACTCAAAAAGCATCTCTAGACCCAGCAGTCTTAGCTAATTATAGGCCAATCTCCAACCTTCCTTTCATATCAAAAATCCTTGAAAGAGTAGTTGTCAAACAGCTAACAGATCATCTGCAGAGGTTTATTTGAAGAGTTTCAGTCAGGTTTCAGAGCTCAGCACAGCACAGAAACAGCTTTAGTGAAGGTTACAAATGATCTTCTTATGGCCTCTGACAGTGGACTCATCTCTGTGCTTGTCCTGCTAGACCTCAGTGCAGCGTTCGAGACTGTCGACCATAATATCCTATTAGAGCGATTAGAACATGCTGTAGGTATTACAGGTACTGTGCTGCAGTGGTTTGTATCATATCTATCTAATAGACTCCAGTTTGTGCATGTAAATGGAGAGTCCTCTTCACACACTGAGGTTAATTATGGAGTTCCACAGGGTTCAGTGCTAGGACCAATTCTGTTTACATTATACATGCTTCCCTTAGGCAGCATCATTAGAAGACATAGCATACATTTACACTGCTATGCAGATGACACCCAGCTCTATCTGTCCATGAAGCCAGATAACACACACTCGGGTTTCCAAAAAAGAAGTCAGGATTTCTTTTAGGATCTCTGAACTGATGTCACAGATACTGTAGCTTGGTTCAAAATGGTTTAAACTGAATTTAGCTTGTTGCCGTGGTGATCAGGAACCTGTTCTTGACCTCTTCCTGTCCATCAGGTGCAGGATGCTCCATCAAACCAGAGACCAAGGAGTGCCCCAGTGAGTGCAGTGATCAGGGTCGCTGCAAGGATGGCAAGTGTGTCTGCTTTCCTGGATTCAGCGGGCCGGACTGCAGCCAGTCCAACTGTCCCGGGGACTGCAGCAACAACGGGAAGTGCGTGAATGTTCAATGCGTGTGCGATCCTGGTTTCACCGGTCCTGACTGCTCCCTGAAAGCCTGCCCTGATAACTGCAACAATCACGGCAGGTGCGAGAAAGGCAAATGTGTGTGCAACAGTGGTTTCACAGGTCCCAGCTGCTCCGATGAATCCTGTCCCGGAAACTGCAAAAAAAGAGGGGTCTGTGTTAACGGACAGTGCGTGTGCAATCCTGGTTTCACCGGTCATGACTGCTCCCTGAGATCCTGCCCCGATAACTGCAACAATCAAGGCAGGTGTGTGAACGGCAAGTGTGTGTGCAACAGTGGCTTCACAGGTCCCAGCTGCCTCAACAAATCCTGCCCCAGCAACTGCAACAGGAGGGGGCGCTGCATTAACGGGCAGTGTGTGTGTAATCCTGGATTCGCTGGGCCAGACTGTTTAAAGAGGACATGCCCAGACAACTGCAATGACCGTGGGAGGTGTGTTAACGGTAAATGTGTCTGCAACAGTGGCTTCACCGGTGCGGATTGCTCTGAGGCAGTCTGTCCTGAAAACTGCAACAACAGGGGGCGCTGTGTGAATGGACAGTGTGTTTGTGATGATGGATTCACTGGCGAGGATTGCTCTGAAAGAACATGCCCAAATGACTGCAACGACCGTGGCAGGTGTGTTAATGGTAAATGCATATGTGACAGCGGATTCACAGGTGACGACTGCTCTGAAAACACCTGCCCCAACAACTGCAACAACAGGGGGCGCTGTGTTAACGGACAATGTGTCTGTGATGATGGATTCACTGGTGCAGACTGCAGTGCTAAAGGCTGCCCCAACAACTGCAACAACAGGGGGCACTGTGTTAACGGACAATGTGTCTGTGATGATGGATTCACTGGCGAGGATTGCTCTGAAAGAACCTGTCTAAACAGCTGCAACAACAGGGGGCGCTGTGTGAATGGACAGTGTGTTTGTGATGATGGATTCACTGGTGCAGACTGCAGTGCTAAAGGCTGCCCCAACAACTGCAACAACAGGGGGCACTGTGTTAACGGACAATGTGTCTGTGATGATGGATTCACTGGCGAGGATTGCTCTGAAAGAACCTGTCTAAACAGCTGCAACAACAGGGGGCGCTGTGTGAATGGACAGTGTGTTTGTGATGATGGATTCACTGGTGCAGACTGCAGTGCTAAAGGCTGCCCCAACAACTGCAACAACAGGGGGCGCTGTGTTAACGGACAGTGTGTCTGTGATGATGGATTCACTGATGCAGACTGCAGTGCTAAAAGCTGCCCCAACAACTGCAACAACAGGGGGCGCTGCTTCAGGGGGAGCTGCGCGTGTCGTCGGGGGTTCACAGGACCAGACTGCAGCCAGTGTCAGGAGGGGATGACTGGGCCCAACTGTGATGTCGGTGAGTCAAATCTTCCATTTATCTTCTCCATATCTATCTATCTATCTATCGAGATATCTAGATATCGAGATATCGAGATATGTGTGCACGAACAGCACAAAGGAGCAAAGTTGCTCCCAGTGTAAATGCTATAATTCACTGTTTTAAGAAAGACAGCTTGTTTATTTCCCCACCAAGCCTCTTTAAATTTGACTTGGTAGGCTTGGCTTTAACCACAAATAGTCAAGAGTTGGTTACATTTATGGTGGGGGCATGGACGGAACCAGAAGCTGAACAGTAAGGTGGAAAATGAAGCCAGAGCACCAAAACTGCACTTCCTGTAATGTCCGGTTGAGTCAATCCTGACCGATTACTTTGCCCAACAATACAGCAGGGAAAATGTCAACAGTCTGGTAGACAAACATCTTGATGCATGCTCAATCAAACAGGTAAGTAAACCCCCAAGGTTTGATTCTGTTCATCTGGATGTAGAGCTTTCAGTGGGAGAAACGTTTCGTCACTCATCCAGGTGACTGAAGAAGTCACCTGGATGAGTGACGAAACGTTTCTCCCACATCTACGTCCAGATGAACAGAATCAAACCTTGGGGATCTGGTAAACAAACATAGTTTTTGTTCCTGTAGATAATAATCTCTTAACATCAACTACACCCAGGGTGAATTTCTTAAAAGTTGGAGTGTATAGTGGTGTGGGTTAAAGTTAGGGACATGGTTACATTGGTGTATGTCTTTCCTTTATTTTGTGTAAAATGCATGTTTGTGTCTCATTCTTATCTGAAGAACATTTGTTCACCATGACAGGATCACATTTAATTGCAGTGGGAATATCTGTTTGCAACAAATGTGCACAAACCACACATTTCTTCTAAAACTGTCATTCTGGGGTTGTTTAATTTGATACAGTTTTGCAGCATCAGCCGAGCTGCGTACTTCTTTCAGCCATGTTTTCTTGTTGTTGTTGTTGTTGTTGCCATTGTTGTTACCAGGGTGTGGTAGGCTATTAGCACGCCTGTTTGGAGGCTGTTCACGCTGCAGTGATCTGAGTGACGGAGCAGTTTCATTACCAGAGCGGTAGAGTCCAGACCACATAAAAACTCCCTCAGACAGCTGCACAGGACAGCCGCATGTGTGTGAGAGTTTTAAGTGTTTTCCCAAATGCAACTGACCACTTACTGGAGTGGAGGGAGGGATGTCCCACAGCCTGACAGCCCACTGAGTAAACTCAGAGTGGGCAGCAGAAAGTGTGAAGTATGTTTCCATCCACCTGCTGCAGAGACCCCAGTGATGACATAATCAGGAGAAACTGTTGGCATATTTAAATGATGCAAAAACGTTTGATTGGAAACAGATTTTTTGTGAACACTGATTTTCCTTCCTAAACATAGCTACAGATGCAAATACATAACACTGAACCAACATCCAAATATTATGATTTCCTTTAGCAAACGTTGCCTTTTCACATTATTTTAGACAGTTGTCATTTATTTCTTTAAAACATGCAAGTTTTTGCTGTTATTATATTATTTGGGGGGAAAACTGCTCTAGTCACTCCTATACTGAAAAAACCTTCTTTAGATCCTAACACCTAAATGGTAAATGGCCTGTATTTATATAGCGCTTCACTTAGTCCCTAAGGACCCCAAAGCGCTTTACATATCCAGTCATCCACCCATTCACACACACATTCACACACTGGTGATGGCAGCTACATTGTAGTCACCCTGGGGCGCACTGACAGAGGCGAGGCTGCCGGACACTGGCGCCACCGGGCCCTCTGACCACCACCAGTAGGCAACGGGTGAAGTGTCTTGCCCAAGGACACAACGACCGAGACTGTCCAAGCCGGGGCTCGAACCGACAACCTTCCGATTGAGCCACGATCGCCCCACCTTTAACAACCTCCGTCCAATTTCCAATCTACCCTTCATTTCTAAGATACTCAAAAAAGTGGCTCATTTACACCTGGTTAATAATAGCATCTACGAGAGATTTCAATCTGGTTTTCGCTCATGTCACAGTACCGAAACTGCTCTACTTAAAGTCACTAACGATCTTCTAATCGGAGCTGTATCTGGTCTTCTCACCATTCTCGTCCTTTTAGATCTGAGCTCAGCCTTTGACACCATTTCTCACTCTGTCCTTCTAAGCAGACTTTCCTCTCTCTGCATCTCTGACACACCCCTCGCCTGGTTTCAATCATATCTCCTCGACCGCTCCCAGTTTATTCAACTAAGATCACTCCGCTCTCGTCTATTCCCCGTCACCTCTGGTGTACCTCAAGGCTCAGTTTTAGGCCCTCTTCTCTTCATAATATACATCCTCCCTCTAGGTACCATCTTCCGCAAATTTGATCTTCAGTTTCACTGTTTTGCTGATGACACCCAGTTATATCTCTCTTGCAGACCTGATTCCTCCCTCCCACCTTCTTCCCTTACAGAATGTCTATCCGAGTTAAAATCCTGGTTTAGCTCTAATTTTCTAAAGCTCAATGAGGATAAAACTGAGATCCTCCTTATTGGCACCAAATCCAACCTTTTGAAGGCGAACCATTTCTCACTCACCATCGATAACTCCACAGTTTTCCCTTCTCCTCAGGTTAAGAGCCTTGGTGTCATCCTAGACAGTTCACTTTCCTATAAATCTCACATCAATAACCTCACCCGTTCTGCCTACTTCCATCTAAGTAACATTAACAGATTGCTTCCTTCTCTTTCCACCCAGTCTACGTCCATTCTTGTACATAGTCTTGTTACCTCCCGTATTGACTATTGCAATTCTCTTCTGCATGGTCTCCCCCAAAAATCCCTCCATAAGCTTCAACTGGTTCAGAACTCTGCTGCTCGCATTATCACCAGAACCCCTCCTACCAGCACATCACCTGTTCTTCAGGAACTTCACTGGCTCCCTGTGAAATTCCGGATCATTTTAAAACTTCTTCTGCTCACCTTCAAGGCCCTTCATAACCTCGCTCCTCCTTACCTTTCTGACCTGTTAACCACCACCTGTTCTGCCCGTTCACTTCGTTCTTCTTCTTCTATCCAGCTTGCTGTACCTTCCTTCCGCCTCACCACCGTGGGAAGCAGAGCTTTCAGCTGCTCTGCTCCCAGGCTGTGGAGCTCTCTGCCCCCTGAAATAAGAAATATTGGTTCTCCCCCAGTTTAAATCCCACCTCAAAACTCATCTGTTCAAATCTGCATATTCACTGTGAATCCACTGTTTGTTCATTTTATCTTGTGCTTTTGTTTTATTGTTCTTATTCTGCCATTGTTTTACTAAGTGTTTTATCCTATTGTAAAGTGTCCTTGGGTGACTTGAAAGGCGCTCATAAATAAAATTTATTATTATTATTATTATTATTATTAACTGGATATTTCCCTCCAGTTTATGACCACGCGCTGGTCAGAGATGATGGTTGGTTTCCCAGTGCATCATGGGAATCCCCGGCAGCCTACGTCTATTGCAGCATAACTAAGGGAGGATTCAGGGTCACCTGGTCCAGCCCTAACTATATGCTTTAGCAAAAAGGAAAGTTTGAAGCCTGATCTTGAAAGTAGAGATAGTGTCTGTCTCCTGAATCCAAACTGGAAGCTGGTTCCACAGAAGAGGGGCCTGAAAACTGAAGGCTCTGCCTCCCATTCTACTTTTAAATACTCTAGGAACAACAAGTAGGCCTGCAGAGCGAGAGCGAAGTGCTCTAATAGGGTGATATGGTACTACAAGGTCATTAAGATAAGATGGGGCCTGATTATTTAAGACCTTGTATGTGAGGAGCAGAATTTTGAATTCTGGATTTAACAGGAAGCCAAAGCAGGAGAAATCTGCTCTCTCTTTCTAGTCCCTGTCAGGACTCTTGCTGCAGCATTTTGGATTAGCTGAAGGCTTTTCAGGGAGTTTTTAGGACTTCCTGATAATAATGAATTACAGTCGTCCAGCCTGGAAGTAATAAATGCATGAACTAGTTTTTCAGCGTCACTCTGAGACAGGATATTTCTAACTTTAGAGATGTTGCGCAAATGGAAGAACGCAGTCTTACATATTTGTTTAATATGTGCATTGAAGGACATGTCCTGGTCAAAAATGACTCCAAGGTTCCTCACAGTGTTACTGGAGGCCAAGGTAATGCCATCCAGAGTAAGAATCTGCTTAGATACCATATTTCTAAGATTTTCAGGGCCGAGTACAATAATCTCAGTTTGATCTGAATTAAGAAGCAGAAAGTTAGCGGCCATCCAGGTCTTTATGTCTTTAAGACATTCCTGCAGTTTAACTCATTGGTGTGTGTTATCTGGCTTCATGGACAGATAGAGCTGGGTGTCATCTGCATAGCAGTGTAAATGTATGCTATGTCTTCTGATGATGCTGCCTAAGGGAAGCATGTATAATGTAAACAGAATTGGTCCTAGCACTGAACCCTGTGGAACTCCATAATTAACCTCAGTGTGTGAAGAGGACTCTCCATTTACATGCACAAACTGGAGTCTGTTAGATAGATATGATACAAACCACTGCAGCACACTGTAAAAAAATATTGTAATATAAAAGTATTTACTGTGTATTTTACAGTTTTGTACTGTTCTTCTAGAATATCATTAAATTTAAATAAATAGACTGATTTTACATTTCTAATGTAAATTAACGTAAAATCACTGTAAATGTAATAAAACATAATTTTCTTGTTTTTTAAATGTATCTGTCTGTACATATGCATATTTACATTGTTAAAATAATTCACAAAGGTATCATAATTTCACAAATATTTGTCCGTTATTTGAAAGATTGAATTGTTAAATTCAAATGTGATGCTACAGAAAAATATATAAAATGATTCTTATAAACTTTTGTTACATCAAATAATAATAATTATTATTATTGTTATTTAGGGCGATCGTGGCTCAAGAGTTTGCAGTTCGCCTCGTAATCAGAAGGTTGCCGGTTCGAGCCCCGGCTCAGACAGTTTCGGTCGTTGTGTCCTTGGGCAAGACGCTTCACCTACTGGTGGTGGTCAGAGGGGAATTGTAAAGCGCTTTGAGGGTCTCAAAAGCGCTATATGAATGCAATCCATTATTATGTAAACCAACTGTATTATTATTCATATTGCCGCATTCATTGACCTTTTTATAGGTAATTTCATTGTTTCATCACATTAAAATGTTCCTAATTTAATGTTTAAAAGCACTTGAAAAAGGCAGAATCCCGTGTAAAATTAGGGCAACAAACTTTATTGTCATTGCTGAAAATAACCGTATTTTCATGAGGAAGTTCTTTTCTGTTATTTTATGGTATTATTTTGGCGCCCCAGCTGCCACAGTACCTGTAACACCTACAGCGTGCTCTAATCGCTGCACTGACATATTACCAGCTGTAAAAACAAAGTGCAGGTTCTTGACAGCGACTTGCTGCTTCCTCCAAATATCATATGTTCATTATTCTCCACTGTTGTTAAGCAGTCATAGCAGTGGGACATGCTAAGTACTGAAGAGACAGTCACAGCTTCATCATGTTGATGCCATTACTGGCCCAGTGTGAGACAAAGTGCTCTCAGAGAAAACAACTGAAATGTCTGCCTGAACATAGAATAGAACAGAATAGAACAGAATAGAATAGAATAATCCTTTAATTGTCCCACAAGGGGAAATTTGGTTGTAACAGCAGCCAGAAAGACACATATACAAACAAACAGGACAGAAACATTTTTCTTACATATTTACATCGAGGACAGTGGTTCCTATAACCAGAGAACTGTACAGTTATTAAATTAAATAAAAGTAACTACAGATAAGAGGCAAACCTAAAAAGGCACGTCTAGGTTTCTTTAGAGTGTTTGATTGAAAACACTCAGACGTGCACATTTTGTTCTGATAAATGTTTCTTTTAGTTTTTGTGTCTTTAAATGTATGTTTGTGTTGATGTGCCTTCCACATGACGGCCGTTGGCTATAACTTTAATCAGTTGTTGACACACAAACCCAACAAACATCAAAACGTTGTGGCAGCTGAAATCGATAAAGCTTAAAGGAACCATCACGCAAAACAGAACAGTGAGAGTTGACGTAAAGCAGCGAATAAACCACCAAGGCCACAGTCTGATAGACGCAGACACAAAGCAGATGGGATCAAACGGAGAAATATTTATCAGTCTGATGACGTTTATGTGCAAAAGAAACTGTTTGATGGAATAATGTTGCAGAATGGGGAAGCTTTTATTGTGAAGGCGCTCAGCCAAATAATGCTTCTTTACATGTGTAACACGCACGCTGAACTTGAGTAGCTGCCTTCCACGAGCAGCGGATCTTCCAGTTTGACTGTTGGAGGCTGATGGAGGCTGATGGAGGCGGCCTCCGTGAGCCGGAGGTGTTGGTCTGTTTACTGCGCCTGTGTTTGTGCCGTGCTGCTGCGGTGTGAGCGATTTAAACCATCCCAGAGGAAGTTTGAAATAAAGTCACGACGTTCCCTCTGGGAGGAAATAAAGTTAATCCAGACGCAGCAGTGGCAGGAGAGGCGGGGTCATTGCCGAGTCCGTCGGGCTGTTCTCATGAGCTGACTAAAGAACACTGATGGGAGAAGAGCAGCAGAAGGTGGATGAGATAAGCTTCTTTGTATTTTTACTTTCTTTTCATTAAAGAACAAAGAAGAACAAACACCTGAAGCAAATGAAAATTCAGCTGCTGTATTTGAAACAGAGCCAACACAGCTGTGGTGCAGAGGTTACATACATGTGATGATTACTTCTATACAGTGCTGTAACAGTACAGTAAAAATAGTGTGCACCTTTAAAGGTAAGCTGATGTTTTCCAGTGTTCCAGTGGACACACAGCACTGCTGTGGGTTGCATTAAGCACACAGGAATATTAATGTAAGTTACATTAGAGTGCAGTAGCAAATAAAGAGCTTTTCTGATGTATTATCGCCTCAGTAAACTTACAGTGAATGTGTTGGCCAGCAGCTTCTTTCACTTCCACATCACTGAGTCCTGTTTGTGGTCACCAGAAGATTCCTCGATCGGTCTCAGCCAGCTCCCGCTGCTTTTCAATTTTCCCCTCAAAGACTGAAATCTGCCTCTTCTTCCTCATCTGAGCTCATGCTGTGGCTCGGAAATCACAGACCTGGATATGAGCCTTAATGAGAAAACCACCCCTCATCACTGGAGCAGTGTCATTTTCAACCTGCACATCAGATCGAATGGTTTGTCCTGTTGTTGTGGTGCCAGGGAGCAGATGGTTTAAGGTTTCATTAAGGCTGATGCCAAACTCTGATAAATGCATCACTTTGGTTTGGGTAAGATGGAGGAGAAAAAGCCTCCTGCTGCAGGACAAACACTTTGCTTGTTCCACTGCATCAATCACAGGAGAGAGAAAACGAGGAGGAAGAAGACCTGCAGGGTTATTCAGCAGTGTCGACTGCACGGAGCATGGACAGGAACGTTTGTGATGAGGTGACTAAACTGTGGCGCCGATGATGTTCGTCTGTGTGTGATCCATCTGCAAGTCACTGAATACAGCCATTATTATTATTATTATTATTATTATTATTATTATTATTATTATCATGTTTGTTGTCACCTGATGAGTGGAAGAGCTTGAAAGGTCACTCCTGGATTATACTGCCCCAAATATATTCCTTCTCTCACCCCAACCAATCACAGCAGATGGCCCCGCCCCTCCCTGAGCCTGGTTCTGCTGGAGGTTTCTTCCTGTTCAAAGGGAGTTTTTCCTTCCCACTGTCGCCAAAGTGCTGCTCATAGGGGGTCATATGCTTGTTGTTCTCTGTATCTAATAGCGTAGGGTCCACTGTACAATATAAAGCGCCTTGAGGCGACTGCTGTTGTGATTTGTTGCTGTATAAATAAACTTATTGCATATTTGCTCAGTAAACGTGCACTTGTCTTAAACAGTTGATAGCATGATCTGTCGATTGGCAGTCTGCTGTGCTCCACTTTCAGTGGTGGTCATGTAAAGGTGGAGAGGGCTGAGTGTGGTAGGCTGGCCCGCTCCAGCCACTGGGACAGGGTGGAGCTGCTGTAGGGCCTCCTTCCCAGATGCCATGGTGTTGGTGGATGAAGCCAGGTCATCTACCAGGTGAAGAGGTCGTGTTTGTTGTTGTGCTGCTAGCTGCTTCGCCTCTGTCCTATAACATGAGGTCAGCATAGCGCGGCGTCCGCTAAAGCAGGAATGTTGCTGAACAGGAGTTTTTGCCACACAAACACGTGGAGACAAACGCACACGGTGGTGTTAGCCTGAGTCTCATTGTGCAGCTAAGTCTGTGTTTCTCTCTTTCAGTCATGTCTGGTGTTTCCCGGCTGAGCACTCAGGACATCACAGACACGTCAGTCGCTTTGGTTTGGACTCCGCCTCCTGTCCAGTATGAGACCTACTACATCACCTTCAGCAGCCAGGTACGCGGCAGGTTAAGCTTTAAAGTCTTTGAGTTTCACTTCTCTACCTCCTCAGTGGTTCTTTGGCAGACGTGCACAGACTCCAGCATCAGATCACCTGAACTGAATTCATCAGTTTAACTGAAAGCAGCAAAAAAGGGGAAAAATCAGAAGTTTCATTCTTAAAGAAACGTGTGTTGTTCCCGGAGAGGGGCCCACTTTCTCCTGTGAGACGTTTGACGTGTCGTGTTGATCTGAAACTCTGCCATGTTAGACAGAAGCATCCACCATTAACTGCATATACAACACATACAGTAATATACGTGTTGTGCTATGACTCAGACCAAAGTGTTTCCAGTATGGAAAAGCAGAAAGGCCCCATTTAAAACTGAATATTTTTAATAAAATGAATAAAATGTGAAGCCAGCTGCTGTTTTTCTCTCACACTGTGGAACCACACGGAGACAGTCCAGTAAAAACCTGTTCGGCTCACGCACATATTTCCATAATTCACATAACAGATCCACAGTCCTCACTGTCCCCTTATCCAGGACCTTCACCGGGTCATGTAGAGAGGGTGGAGCAGTGTGGAGGACACACGTTTCTTTACAAGATCCTCAGTGAAGTTTCCAAAGAGGTCTGCAGGTAGAAATATCAAACTGCGGTGCGTCGTTGTGAGCAGCGTTCACAGCCTGAAGCACAAAACTGCTGAGCTCAAAATGAACTTCAAACATTTGACACACACCATAAAAATCCTGCTTTATGTGACCGCAGTCATAACAGCAATCACAGTCTGCAAACCTTAGAGGATATCCAAAGTGTAAGTGATGGGGGTGTGTTGGTCTTTTATTTTGAAGGACACGAACAGTCTGTCATTTCCATGACAAACGCCTGTAAGAATGATCTGTGAGGTTGGGCTGCAGTGCCAGAGGAGATCTCTGGGCTCCATAAACACTAAATTACTGCAGATTTTATGGCGTTAAACTTCAGTGACTCCGTCGGCTGAGCGCAGGTTTGAGACCAAAGCGCCGCTTTCATGTTTCCGTGACTGGAAGTGAAACTCAGCGTCTCCAGATGGCGGCGAAAGTCACAATTTTGAAATTTCAAAGTCAATTAAACAAAGAAATGTAACCTACAATAGTTTTTTCTTCGGGGGGTCATTTTAGCTACCACTCAAAGGTTTGGGAGGTGGAGGTTCACACATCCGCTCAGTTGCTGGTTCACTTTCCAGGTGGAGACAGAGCTCTGCTTTGGGGTCATGTCAGTAGGTGGATGTGGAGGAAAGCTACCCACTGCAGTGACCCCTCGTGACAGGGGAGCTGAATGTGCCTGGAGATTTAGATGGAGCTGCTGTTTATGTCTTTTTCCAGCTAATATTTAATAAACATCAGTAACCGTGGTTACTAGAGTGGGTTTGATTTGGAAAGTGATGGGGACATAAATTTGTTGGAGTGTCAGGATCCTGCCGGGTTTGGACCGATCAGCGCTGTGTGGACTCTGGTGGTCCCACGTCCACCTGTAAAGTAACCACTAGTGATGGGATTTCTTTATAGAGAGCCGGTTCTTCAGGTTGTTTTGTTGCTTTAATTAATTTATTATTAACAATAATATAAAATTATGCACAAAAGGAATTACTAATGTAAAAAAAAAAAGTGGTTTTATTTATATATGTTTATATATAAATATATGCGGTGGCCCCTAGAGACAAAACACGTACAAACTCCAAGAAACATTTCTAGCGTTAACTGAACTTCCAAACAGAGCTACTAGATCACTTAAATTACACAATTGAAAGCATGTGTGTATTGTTTGTGTATTTATACACAGGCACTCATATATATTCAAATAATTTTAAAAAAAGTTCATTTACCTGTTACTACCACACACCAAATCCAGTCGTTGGTACTTGCCGGCTTGTGTAGCCACGAGGTAACAAAAGCTCAACACTGCCCCCTAGCATCCTGGAGCACTTCTGTTGTGTTTTGTACGTGTTTTGAGTTATTATGTGTTTTGTCTGTAGCAGCCACCGTAAATATACTTTTATTTATTCACTCCACATAAAATGTAATAAATAAATCATATGATACAAAAACCAACTATTCACATTTCAACTTTTAACTATTTAAATTTTCAGCTTTTTCCTTTTAAACAAATTTAAAGAGAAACAACACAAAACACTGCAAACACAACACAATTAAATATAAATTAAAATGTGAAAACAAAAAGAAATGCACATTCTCTGTCATATGGACCTGCATGAATAAACTTTCTGAATCCTTTATCATCTGCAACTCTCTCTCTCCCTCCCGCTCTGTTCCTGTGCTACTGAGTGTAACTACCGCCCCTCCCCCCTCTGCCTCTAAAGCACAAGGCGGGAAAAAGTGTGAGAGAGAGGCTGAGAGAAAGAAAAGAAAAAAAATACGGCTCGCGTCGCTCACGTCAAAGACCCGGCTCTAAGAGCCGTTTCGTTCGCGGCCGACACATCACCAGTAACCACTCACTGTCTTTAAACACCCAGCATCCACCTTCATGCATAAACTCTTTAGCCTGCTCTACAACACGCTCTGTATTCAGTGTTATTAATACACGACACCATGAAGCAAATACTCAGTTTTGTGAAGTTTTATGATTTTAAAAAATCATTAGCAGTGTTGCTAAGCAACTAATTTTACATGTTTGAACTTCATAAGATGCTAATATTTCTCAGAGGTGCCTTTGAATGGCTTTAATAAAAACTGCCTGATCCTGGTTCTGTTGGAGTTCTTCCTCCCGCCGTCACCAAGTTCTTGCTCATAGGACTTTTGGAGGTTTTCTCTCTAAAACAGCAAAAATCAGTCGTGAATGCGTCAGACTGAGTGAGTCTGAGCCGGGACACAGCACAGAGATGTGTGTTTTCAGATCAAAGTAACAACACATCTGCCCTTTCTCTTTAAACCTCGGGCATTGCAGAGGTATGATGAGTCATCTAAAAATTAATTTGGTTTAAAAAATATCCTCATGGATCCTGATGGCTTTAATTATGACAGGACAGATTGACAGTAGAAAAGAAAGATGGAGGAGACGTAACAGAATCAAACCTGGACTCGCCCCAGAGTGGCTGCTCAGCCCACCACGACCCTCCAGGCAGGGCAGGGACTTTCACCAAGCTTCATTCTGTTGACAAAGAGTTTAAAAACCATTCACTAAATATAGAAACACCGAATCTGCCTCTCCTGTGAAAACGAATAATAGTAATTATGTATCAGTTAATGTCGGGCTGATGTTTGCAGCAGAGCAGCAGGAGGACGGCCGGCTGATGGATTTCCTTTTTCATTTCGTCTGCTTTCCCTCCGCTCATTTTGGCTTTTCGTTTAGAGCCAAACTCGTTCCATCGCAGCCGGATGCGCTTGGCAGTCGGAGCCCATGTGGAAGACACTAACACCTCATCTCCTGCTTTAATCATGTGCTGCATTTCCTGCTGATTCTCCTCAAACCACATATGAGCACTTTTATTTGCTTCCCTCACAGGAACCTTAAAGCGCTGGCAGTGAGTGTCGTTAGCGACAGTGTTAGCAACACAAACACAATCATATCATCGTGGACGAAAATAAACTGCAACATAGCAACAACGTCCTCGGTCCGCTCCTCTGATGTAACCGCCTGTAGGGGGCGCAGTAGCGTAGCTTTGTCTGATGAAGCTGTTCATCATTTGCTCGCTTGTAACAGCCGAGCGTGCAAGTTTGTGCAAATGAGTTCAAGGTGTTTCAGTTTGAAGCGTTAGACTGTTTAAAGTGATGTTTGCAGGACAGAGCAACAGCAGGACGTGCAAATATGTAAAAGTGAGCTGCAGTTTAGAGACTGTTTGACCATGAATGTGTATTTGCAGCCAGAAATAAGGATGTGATTGTTTCTGAGAGGACGTCATGCACAGAGACCTGCTGACCTGAAAAGCACCGAGTGGGTGTGGCTTATTTGGCAGCACAGCTTAGCTTTTCGTGATTGGATTAATGTCCTTTGGACAGACGAGACCAAAGTGGAGATGATGTCCACAATGCAGAGCAGCACCTCATACCAGCGCTCAGCACGGTGGAGGAAGGACAATCATTTGGGCCATTTGCCCGGACCTCTGTTCCCCAAAGTCGTCTGGAGTCAAATGTGAGCTAAAGCTCGGACAGGGTCATCAACAGGACAACGATCCAAGCACGGCAGCAGATCTCTGACAGAAGAGCTGAATCGAGCTGCTGTCAGAGTGCAGACGTCAACCTGACTGAGATGCTGTGCGTGAACGAGTGGAGTGGCCAAAGTTCCTCAGCGACGACGTCAGAGACCAAAGAAGTCACACAGGAAATCACCACTTCATTTCCTGCTGCTGACTGATGCAGTGTTGAGTTATGGTGCAGGTAGTTTTGCACAGGACTGCAGAGGATAATCATGTTTGTGAAAAACTAACTTCATTCAGCAGCCTTTTAGGCCATGTCCATGTTGGACATGTGGTCTTTCTTTAACGTGTTTATTTCTATGCAAATTTCCTGGAAACCTTTGACGACCTGAGACAGGACTACAGCACGCTTCAGTCATGTGCTTTTAACTGAATTAATACCTGAAAATAACAGGTAACAATTCAGTCACATATGTCAAATATAGTGACTTATTGTGGCTCATACATGATTTCATTATCTAATAAGTGTAAACGTTTCTCTGTTTCCATTTCACCCATCTGGCACCAAACACTGAAACGGGAGAACATCATATAATTTTGATGAAATTACCAGTTTTTCTGGGATTATATGGAAACTGTTTGCAGGAAACCAGGAGTTCAAACTCCGTGTGCCAAACATGATAGAAAACAGCTTCCCTCCATCTATCTCAGTGTGTGGGTGGCGGGATGTCTGATGCCCTGCAGCCAGGCCTTCTACATATGGTCATTAGCTACGTGATGCATGATGGGGTCTGATCATTCTCCTGGTGTAAAAACACTAAATTGTCCTTTTAATCACAGAAGTATTGAGATGTTTCGTAACCTGGGCTTCACATGTTCATCA